CTGTTGTTGTGACCACTCTGCTGTTGTGACCACTCTGCTGTAGTAACCACTCTGCTGTTGTGACCACTCTGCTGTTGTAACCACTCTGCTGTAGTAACCACTCTGCTGTTTTGACCACTCTGCTGTTGTTACCACTCTGCTGTTGTGACCACTCTGCTGTAGTAACCACTCTGCTGTAGTAACCACTCTGCTGTAGTAACCACTCTGTTGTTGTGACCACTCTGCTGTTGTGACCACTCTGCTGTAGTAACCACTCTGCTGTTGTGACCACTCTGCTGTTGTGACCACTCTGCTGTTGTGACCACTCTGCTGTAGTAACCACTCTGCTGTTGTGACCACTCTGCTGTAGTAACCACTCTGCTGTAGTGACCACTCTGCTGTAGTAACCACTCTGCTGTAGTGACCACTCTGCTGTAGTGACCACTCTGCTGTAGTGATCACTCTGTTGTAGTGACCACTCTGCTTTAATGACCACTCTGTTGTAGTGACCACTCTGCTGTAGTGACCACTCTGCTGTAGTGACCACTCTGCTGTAGTGATCACTCTGCTGTTGTAACCACTCTGCTGTAGTGACCACTCTGCTGTAGTGACCACTCTGCTGTAGTGATCACTCTGTTGTAGTGACCACTCTGCTGTTGTGACCACTCTGTTGTAGTGACCACTCTGTTGTAGTGACCACTCTGTTGTAGTGACCACTCTGTTGTAGTGACCACTCTGCTGTAGAATCATTTCCAACCCAGAAGTTCTCAAAGGTCAGTGTCTTCATCTCAGAGGTTGTTAAATTTAACTTAGCTCTGTTATAAAATCCTGAAGGTTCCTCCAGCTCATCAGTAATGTTCCTGCTGGATGAACAGATAGGTTCCACAGCTGCCTGAGTTTTATAGAATCATAGAGAGTAAAATATGAAGAGGCCAAATGACTGCAAACAGCTGACTGATGGGATTTTTATTTCAACAACATCCCACGTATGTTTCCTCTAAAATGAGAAAACAGATGCATCTCTGAAACTAAAAACCAAGCAGGATGAACTGAAACTAAAGCAGAGTCGGTTCAGTCAATAAAAGCTGCAGAAGTGATTTTAGTTCAGTGTTTGTCTGCAGAAACAGAACTTCTGTGTTAAAACCTCCTGAATTCCAAACAACAACTCTTCCTTCGGCTTTCAAAAGAAAAACTTCAAACTTCATCAGTTTCTCTGAAGCTAAACGTTCTTCTAACGTGATTTTCACCTCTTTGTTCCTCATGAGTGACTTCACTGTAGCGGTATTTTTACTGTACCTCCATAAACCAGGATTTAGACTAAACCCTTATGAGTTTCTAGGAACCGGTTGGACCTGGGAGCCTTTATTGTGTCAGGTTCTGCTTGTTCAAGAGGTGGTAAAAATGTTAATATTTGGACTTCTACAGCATTGGTTCTTAGAGCTGGTGTCGGGACAAGTAGGAGGTTCTGAGAAGATCTGAAGAAATCAAATTAATTTTCAAAATGACCGTCAGTCGTGTTTTTAACTGCGTTCAGTTTCAGGTTCTGAGTTTTTCTGTAGACTGTTGATTTAAGAGGTTTTTTTAAAACGGAACATTCAGAGGTTCTGGATGGATCACTTTCTGGATCTGCTGCTTTTATTTTTCTCCTTGTGTTTCCAAAAAACCCAAACCGGTCCTGTGAGCCGGGCTTTCTGCAGCCAGCGTAAATATTTACCCAGCTCTCACATCTTCACCATCTGCGCTGATTCACCTGGTGATTTATACCACTTCCTGTGCTGCACGCTCAGAGGCAGCAAAGAGAGGCTCGACCCGACGAGGCTCGGCCCAAATCAGCCCGGCTGGTCCTGTGGTTCTGCTCATGTTGATGGAGACAGAACCCCCCACCCCCCTCACCACAAGTAAAACCTCTGGTTCACCCTCAACTATGTGATGGTGGTGGAGCTTTCTGCTTCAACAGCACATCCTGCTCAGACGACCCCCTCCTCCGTCTGCACGTGTATCACAAGACCCGTCCTCATGACGAGTCAGAACCACGAGTCTCTCATGGTTTATCACAAGACCCGTCCTCATGACGAGTCAGAACCACGAGTCTCTCATGGTTTATCACAAGACCCGTCCTCATGACGAGTCAGAACCACGAGTCTCTC